TGGGTGGGTGGGGAGAGATTAACCAAAGAACTTATATGTTTATAAGTATAACCCATGGACACAGACATTGGTATGGGGAAGGCCTGGGGGTGGGGTGAATGTGAGGTGGAGGGGATCAATGAGGGAAAAAAGGGGACATCTGTAATACTTTCAACAATAAAGATAAAACAACAAAAAAATTTGTATGCTATTTAACTGTGTGCTGAGCACTGCTCTAAGTATTTTACATGTATTAACCCATTTGGCCTTAAAATAATCTTTTTAGATAGGTACTATTATCATCCCCATTTAGCAGGCTAGAAAACTGTGGCACAGAGAGGTAAGTCACCTGCTCCGTGTCACAGAGCTAGCTAATGGCAGTATTTCAAACCTGGGCAGTCTAAGATTAGAGATCGTATACTCAATCGTTAGTGCTGTCCTGCCCTACTAAATACAAGAGAGGAAAAGTAAATAGCGTAGGTAGAGGGCAGGAGTGCCGATTTGGGCAGAGAAGTTAAGTAGGGCGCTTAAGAAAGACTTCAGTGATGGTACGGCAGTTAAGTGGAAACCTGGAGAAAGCAAGAGATTGGACCGTAAAAGGGAAGAACATCCCGGGCTGACGTAGCCACAGAGGCAAGGGCTCTAAGAGAGGAATGTAACTGTCATGTTGAAGGCATCGGGGCGCTTGGAGAAGAGAGAGTCAAGGGGAGAATGGTGAGAGAGGAGATCAAAGAGCTGGAAGGCCCGGTGACACCGGGTAGCAATTCCAGTGGGTGAGACGTCAGACAGGGGAAGCGCTTTGGATATTTGTGGAGCAACCTGTCGTAAAGATTGGAGAGCACGACTGGATTTTAGGAAGCAGGGACAAGGAACCCAGACATCTTAGAGTATGTTAAGACATATTATTATTGTTGTTGTTACTGTCCCCAAATTTCTATTACAATTCAGTCTGTCTGTTGAAGCTTTAATTTGTTTCTTTTTTCATCTTCCACTTTCTGTTCCTTACCAATAAATATCCTTTCTGGGATCTTTTTAAGTACTAAAGATGGAAAGGGGGAGAGTCTACTTCCCCAGACTTTGAGCCTGGCCTGGCCGTGTGATTTGTTTTGACCAACAGGATGTGGCAGAAACAGTGTGGCGCTCAGGCCTCGCCAGGCTCCGCGCTCCGCCCTGCTCTCCTGGAGCGTGTCTCGATATTGCCACATCGGGCAGCTGTTGCAGCTGCTCTGGCTTCTGGAGCACGGGGCAGACACAGGGAATCAGAGACGGCCTCGCTCACAGCCAGCGCCAACTCCCTCCCAGAGGCTTTAGCGAGGCCTCTTGGACTTTCCCACCCGGCGGATCTCCAGTTGACTTCAACTCCACGAGAGCCCAGGGGAAACTAAGTAGAGGAATCAGTCAGCCCATCTTGAACATTAGGAGAAATAACAAACTCTCGATTTTTAAGCCCATGGGTTTTGGGGTGGGTTTTACACAGCAATTGCCGACTGATTTAAATGCTCTGATGTGCTGCGGGATTTCAAGACTAAGATATGCCATTTGTGCTGCTTTATCACTATCCTGCCCCTGTCAAAACATAAGGAATTGTTCTCACTCTCAAGTTCTATGTTAGGCTCTGCTCATTCGCAATATCATACATTTTCATGATCTCCACTTAGTTTATAATTCATCTCATCGTGCTGTCTCTGCTTTAGTTAACGATGTTTTCTTCTTTCTCTTATCAGACACTAATAAATCCACTTTGTTATTATTTACACTTAATACTAGTTTAGAAGCTGGTGTGAGGTCTACCTGCTCTCTCATTTTTCTTGGACTCATCAAAGTCAATGGCTTCTAAACTCCTTACATCTCTTCAAGTCAAACTTTTAAAAATTTTTTTATAAATATATCTTTATTGATTTCAGAGAGAGAAAGGGAGAGGGAGAGAGAGATAGAAACGTCAATGATGAGAGAGTCATTGATCGGCTGCCTCCTGCACGCCCCCGACTGGGGATCGAGCCCGCAACCCGGGCCTGTGCCCTGACCCGGAATTGAACCACGATCTCCTGGATCCTAGGTCGACGCTCAACTGCTGAGCCACGCCTGGCTGGGCAAGTCAAACTTTTTTTACTGTAATAATGCAGGAGATATTACTTCTGTATGTCTTCTTTTATAGTGGTTTTAAGCATTATAGATTACTTTTTTTGGTAAATTTCTTTTCTTTTGTTTCTCCTTTAAATTACATTTGTTGTATCATAGCAGTTATATTTAAATTTTGAGAAATTAGATTTATAGGTATATGATATCATTATTGACTCTTACTTTAGTGTAGTAAATGATGTTTGTTGTGAAATAGATACTTAGGATCTGGTAGGGTCTGAAACAATGTTATGAAGCTTTTTAGGTCATTGTAAGGATTGGCTTTTACTTTCTGTGATATGGGTCATTACCATGTTTGGGAAGAGGAGTGACACAATGTCATTTGTATTCTGAGTACTATACCACCAGGATATTGAAAATGATTCTAGGGTTTTGACTGCTGGAGCAGGGAGTCTAATTAGGAGTCTGTTGCTATAATCTAGGCTAGAGATGATGGTGTTATAGTGGCAACAGAGGAGGTGATGCAAGTAAGTGTGTTTTGAAAGTGGGGGTTAGGGATCAGGATTATTTTATGAACTGGATGTGGGCAGTGGGGGAAAGTGAGGATTAAAGGAGGCTCCATGTTATTTGAGCTTGAACCAACATGAAAAGTTGACTTGCTATTTCCTGAGATGGGAAAGAATTTGACTAGATCAGGTTTGGAGTTTTGAACATAGTGGAACATAATAATGGTAAATGTTACCTGTGCAGGCCAGAAGCATGCAACTTTTCTGTTGAACTTTCATTTTAGTTTTGACTGTGGTAATAGCTATAGATGCACCTAAGATGACCATCGAATGCACTGAATGAGTTAATAATTCTTTCAGATGTAAAATTATGCAGTTGGAATAGTCTTTCTTATTTCATGGATGAGAAACCAGAGGCTTAGATCAAAGAGTGAGATAGTGGCAAAGCTCAAACTAGAATTTAAGGAGTTTTATTTCTGATCCAGTTTTTTTTTCTTTTTCTTTTCACATATCTTTTTCTCCATACTGTTTTCTTAGCTTGACTTAAGATAGGAAAAGTACAAATCAGACAATAGAGGGTTTAGAATAGGAATCGTCCATGATACAGAATAAAGATTCTGGGAAAAAGAGGGACATGATTAGAGTTCCATTTAGGAGAAGTGATGCAGCCTTATGCATGGTTGACAGAATGGGTGGGAAGGACTGGAGTTCAGGAGATCACTTAGGGAGCTACTGCAGAACCTGGGAAAGATGAAATAAAGGCATGCAGTGAATTTTGGAACAGTGGGAACATAAAAGGAAATGATCAGTATATCCAGTAGGAAAACCCTGAGGAGGAAGCCAAAATACCTGGATTTTCCCCCCAAACAATCTATTTATCTTCCCTGACCACCAGGAGAAACTTAAGTAAGAACTGAGCTTAAAATATTTTTGACTTTAAACAATCCAGATTTTTGTCTTGTTCTGCCAGGTATATAGCATAAAATCACGTGATAAGTCCAAAGAACTAAAGTCAAAGGAATACCAAATAAATGAAACCTTCTCGGTAGCTCTGCGTGAAACATGCTGACTCTTTGCATGTTCTCTACTCTTTCCAGTACTTACAACTACGATTCAACAAACCAGTTCGCTACGCAGCAACGGTCATCTACATTGTGCAGACGGTAAGGATGGGGGCGACTGCAGAAGCGGAACTGAGGGGCGACGAGATACGGGTTGGTTTATTTCAGGGAGTAGTAAAATCAATTAAAAGAGTAACTCAATACTAAGAAGAAAGGACTTTCTTTGAAGGAAAGCACTTTCAAGCTATGTGATTACATCAAGAGTTGTCCATTGCATATACCCCACGTACAGGTACCAATAATAATAAACCAATGTATATCATAAACCATGAAGAAAAAGAAAGCATTTTCTTAAAATTTATTTCAACTCTTATTCAGTCTGTACAGGTTGCTTTGGATATGAAGATATGAAAAGGTCTGTTAACTGATTTTTTGAAAAAAAATCTAATTAACTGAGTTGAACCAGAAATACTTGTTTTGTTGAAAATCATTTGAAGACAGTATTTCCAAACCATTACTCCGTCTTCCCCCTTTTGGATTCCTCTCCTACCTCCCAGGCCCTGGGATGCCTTCAGGCAGCCTCAGACTTGCCTGTGACACATCTTTGGTGTGTTTCCTACTACTCACCAAACACTTTCTGCAAAAACATAACCTTCTTCCTGTTTCTTAATCAAAACTCTTGCTCACACAGACTGAAGGATTTGAGAGAGATAAAAGGAGGGAAACTATGATCCTTGACCTGTTCATAGGTATTTGCCTTTTAAAACCCTCACATAAATCTCTAAATGGTGAAATTTCATTTAAAATAAAATGGGACCTCACCCACTGCCGTCAGGTTGCAGTTCTGGGAGTTAGAAGGTAACTCTTGTCGATGACCCATGTTGTTAATCTTCTCTGCACAGTACTCCCTCCTCACTGATGCTTCCACCTTCACTCTAAAATCCATATTTTACAAACTGCTAAAACATATTTGTGTCATTGTGATATGTGCATGGGGTGAGAGGGGAAGAGAGAGAGTGACTGAAAAGCTTAACCTAAAGCCCATTTTTCTATTCTTCAGACCTACACCAAATCTAGCTAAAAAAAATCTCAAAATTTGCAGCAATCTTAAAATGCCCAACCCTAGTATTCCTCCATCTAACACTTACATCTCTTTTGAAAACTAGTTACAGTGGTCAACAACTTCCAAATTAGAGTGGATGGGAATGAAACATTTGGTGAACAAGTTGAAGGAAATACATCTCTCAGGTCAATAAAGAACTTTCTAGGCACCTCTCGCTCCCATGTCACTTTTCTCAGTGTTCATTCTTTTCTCTACCAGATTCTCTACACAGGGGTGGTGGTGTATGCTCCGGCTCTGGCGCTCAATCAAGGTGAGTTATCAACATTTCCTTGGTCCATTCCACTGTGCTTACGCCTGCATTCTCACCCTGACAAATACACATCAAACACCTCGGGGAGACATTCCTGTGTTTAGGGTGCTCTGAATTATTGTAGGAGTGACAAGATAAAGCTCTAAAAATTGAACATCAAAAGGATTGCACGCAGTGAGTTACCTGATGTTGCCCACATGGTTCCAAACACAGTTTAATTGTTGTTTGCTTGTCTATTTTGTTTTTTTAATCACAATAATGATGGGAGTTTGGGTATATTAGACTCACAACCACTAAGTAATATATGGTGATTTCTCAGTGATTTCATGAAGTAGATAATCTGAGTATAATAATAAAAGGTGCTTGTAGTAATTACTTCAAGATGTACACTTGACCCTTTGGAGAGAACAGAATCCTGGAAATGAAACAGGAAAAAAGTGAAATAAATTTTAGAATGATATACATAATATTGGAAGTTCTCAGTATTCAATTTAATCATGCTACCTACTTATATTCAGAAATATCAGTTCATGGCTCATGTTTAATTGGTTTCAAAGTCCTCAGACTAGCTTTGTTAAAAAGATCAACAAAACGCAAATAATTGGTGCAGATCGGAAGCTCCGGAATTTTAGGAGGAAAAAGTTGGCCTTTAACAAATTACATGAAATTTATGGTCTGGGTTGAGGTATAATAACGTAAGGAAATAATCTTTATCAGAGGTGAGAAAACCGAAGAGAAAACTCTAATTTGATTTCCATTTGCCCACAAGAACAATGACAAGAACACTGTGACTTTTTCCTGGTAAAGCTCTTTTTTTGCTTTTCTCAGAGGAACTTCTTTCGACACTTGTTCTCCCTTTGTAGTGACTGGGTTTGACCTCTGGGGCTCTGTGTTTGCCACAGGAATCGTGTGCACGTTCTACTGCACCCTGGTACGTATGTAGCTGTGGAGGGGGTTTCGCGCCATCTCAGCACAGGATAAGGGCAAAGCTCCAGCGGCAGGGCGTCTAAATATAGCAGAAGTTGCTATTCTAAAATTAAACAGAAGGACGCTGGCTTATCTGTTACAGTTTCCTGAGGAAAGTGCTGATGTTTTATTTAAAAATTATTTTTGGTATCCACCATTACTGGAATTTAAGCTCTGAGCTCATTCGAGGAGGCCACGGCTGAGAGAAGATTTAATGACTAAAGTACCTCCTTGATCAGAGGATTAGGTGGCCACATGCAATTTCTGAGGAAAAAGTAAGTTGCTCAGTTGTCGTGATTATAAACCATGAGTAGAGTTTAGAATTCACTATCTAATGGTTGAGAAACACAAAGTGCACATATGAGCAATCAGAGATGGCTGGTATTTTGTAAATCTGAGCATTCATTCCATAGCTTACTTTTGTATCTTTTTCATGGAAATGCTATGATTCCATTTAACACTTGGCTTTAGTCATGCTCAGTCTTTAACCAAGAAGCCTAGGTGGTATTGGCGACATATTTATGTATTTGCTACAATTCGTTTAGTTGGACAAACACTCATGAGCACCTATTATCTGCCATGCCCTGCCATGGGAACCTTTATTCTTCCGAGTCCTCGGCATCATACACAGAAGCTCTCTGTATCCCGATGAGAATGCGGCAGTGGCTCCTGGTAGCTGGATTCTCTCTCCTCCTTTATACAGAGAGAAATAAAGTACTTGGTATATTATCACATAGCAGACCTACACGTATTTTGGCCTTATGGGCATACCACATACTCTTTTAACATATATCATGAGAATATACAATGTAAAAATGCCCTTATCTCTCTTTGTCATACTTGCAAAGCCCACTATTAGTTTACACTACAGAGTTTTATCTTAGTTTGTTTCCATTCCATTCTCAGTACCCGACCCTTCCATTCCAGACACACATCTCCCCAGGTTAAGGATAGGCCCCTGCTCCTTCAGCGCTGGCCTTATCTGAGGTACCTGCCCCAGCAATGTTGAGATTCAGTGTTAGGGATGCTAAAGGCTGAATTCTTAGCAACAATAGTGGATCAGTGAAATAACATTTTCAAAGCACTGAAGTAAAGCAACTGTCAGCCTATTATTGTGTATTTAGCAAACGATATTTCAGGAGCTGACTATCAAAAACCAAGAGAATTTTCCACTAATATATCTTCCCCTGAGGAAAGCCTAGAGGAAGTACTGTGGGAAAAGAAAAACTTACCCAGTGTTAGATAAAAGAAGTAATAAGATAATAAAATAGTAAACATTTAGGAAGTCTAGTCAAATAACTTTTGGTACTTAATGATGATAATAATTTTAGAGAATACTGTAATTTATATAATTTATAATTATAGATTACATATCACAACTTATTATATTATAAAATGTAATAATTATTATATATAATTTGGGGATTAAGAAAAAGAATAATCCCTCATTGCACAATAATAGTATGTAAAATCAGGAAGAGAGTAATCCGACTTAAAGATTTTTATAATCTTTGAATTGACATTTCTTAAATTTAGACTCTAAATTAAAATTTTCATGGCAAAATTTCAAGGGGACTCATTCAAAAAAAAAAGATCAAAGTGGAAAAATGGAATTAAAACAAAACAAAACCTCAACTGATTTAAGAAGGAGAAGAGAAGAGGGAAAAAAAGCATAGAAAGTATAGAACAAATAGAAACCAAAAGTAAGATGTCAGAAACAAGTCCGGATATTTTAATCATCACCATAAGCTAAAATGAACCAAATGTACTGTCTTAATTGGTTTCAGTGCTTCCCTCCGCCCTGCGTGCTTCTGTCAGATTAACCTTAAAACATCCAGGCCTTCATGCCACTTGACTGGCTTAACTCTCTCCTTGCTTCCCATTGTCTACAGGATAAAGCATAAGCTTCTTAGCCCAGGGTTGGACTCTTTCACTATGTGAATAAATCCGCCCATCTAATCTCTTCCCACCACACCTCTGTCCCTTCTCCACTCTCTAGCCAGGTTACGTGCTCCAATGCCTCACCAAAATCGTGCCTTACTTATTGAACACTTTTGCTCATACATATTACCGTCTCCTTACACTGATAATCCTGTGACTGTACAGCCTAAGACAGCCAGCAGAAAGAGATTAAAAAAATAAGGGATTCCTGCCACCCAGGGGTATGCAGCCTGGTAAAGTAAGCACTGGTTGCAATCTAGTAAATGCCAAGTAGAAGAGTAAATGACACAGACTGGTTATATATTTAAGTGACACTCATGGCACAATCCTGATCAGGGGTTGTGTGTGTGTGTGTGCACGCGCCTATGAGCCACTTGGGCGTGTATCTTGCTGTATGAAGGAGTCATAGAGTCAGAGCAGTTTCCATAGTGGCTATAATTTGTCTTCTCATGGGAATTTGATAAAGTGGTTTGTCCTCTTGCCTCACGTCTAGCTGAAGTGCAGGTTTATGCATTTTTTTGCGTAACCAATGTGAAAGGGTCTCTGAAAACTGAGGTCTGTGACATTTGGTATTCGTATCACTAAATCTACAAATATGATGACTCTGGCAGGAACTTTAGGGTATGTTTTTTAAATTGCATTTTAATTTTAATTTCAAAAGAAATGATGGGAACACCCCAATATCATTTTTCTTCTCAAGATGAAGATGAAGCCTGTCATCTTTTCACAGAAGTTCTTGACACTCTGGAGGAGTAACAGGGGAAGATAATTCTATTTTTTATTGTTAAAAATACCGTGTCCTTTCATTCTTATAGTGCTGTTCCTTTTCAAAGCAATTTTAAACACATCACTTCATTCAATCTTTCCTAATTTTCTGGTTTTACCCTTGACCATGGTTCTGAGGAATTTTATACCTAGATTATTCCAGCCGCCTCTCTCCTTCCTCTTTTCCTCTTGTCCACATGCTCTCAACTAGAACTTTGCATAGCATCATTTGGGGAACTTTCAAAAAACAGACCTCAGTTTATTCAGAATACCTGGGGCTGGGACTCAGACATTTTGGGGGTTTGTTTCCAGTTTCTCCAAGTGACTCTAAAGAGGAGCCCGGTTTGATAACCACCTCCCTAACCTCTTGCCCGATCACACTATCCTGTGCTGTGCTGTTAGATCCATCCTGCTGAAACTCTGGTTTGCTCACCTCACTATTTGACAGCCCCCCAGCTCTTAAAACTCCTTTCTCCACGAATATCCAGATTCTATCATCCCTCCCTAGTTCCTCTCTTCTTTCTAAGTAGCCTACCATCTTAGCTTTCCATAAGTTATTCACTGTCACTAGTTTTACAAAAGGAAACCTCAGGTTGCACAAGCCAGACCTGGGTGACCATCCTCAATTGCCTCACTTGCTCCTCGCATGCATTCAATTAATCACAACTTTTGCTGGTTTTACCTCCCAAATATCTTTTTTTTAAATTTTCTTTATTGTTACAGATGTCCTCTTGTTTCCCCACTGAACCCTTCTAGCCCGCACCCGCCCCTCCACCCCAAGCCTTCACCACACTATTGTCTGTGTCCATGGAGCCTGCATCAACTTCTCCCTCTCTCTGCCTCCCTCCTTTTGCACATGGACACTGAAATAAACTCTGAGTTGGTCTCTCAACTCCTTTTCTTCTGTGGTCCTTGCGATCTATTGTCCACACAGCCACCACTGAAACTACTGTGAAACCAACAAGAGCTTTCATTATATAAATCTGTTTCATGCTCTCTTACTGCTCTTGAGAAGTCCTTTAAGTGGCCTTGTCAAAATCTGTGTCCTGGCCCCCAGCAAATTCAGCAGCCTCCCTTCGGGCACGCTGTACAGTCCTCAGTCTGTGTAGTCCAGCTGTCCTTCGCTCCTCAGGCTCCGCGCACGCCGCTCCCCAATCCCTGTCCTCTGTACCTGGTAAATCCCTGCTCACTCGTCGGGGCTTAGCTCCAATGACACTTTCTCAAGACAGGGTCAGGACTCCCTGCTCTGTGCTTCAATAGAAACCCGGCCTTTTAATTGCACTTTCCACAGTTGTAAGTAAAAAGCTCTATTACTGTCTAGTATCTGCTTCTCCCACTGGATGATAAACTCAGAAGTTAAGGAAGGAATCTGTCTCCTTTAGTCCCACGCTTAACATCATGCTTGGCACACAAAGGGCTCAGCAACTGTGCTGGAGGGGACGGGAGGGGAGG